GAGTGCATCTACTGATCCATGGGCCAATTTAATGCAAACAGTTGATGTAAGGGGCGCTTTGATTGGAACACCTGATATAAGGGAGCACTCAGATGGAGATAACTGATCGTATGTAAGGGGACACTCTTATGAGGACAATTGATCTAAGGAGGGGCTCTAATAGGGACACTGATGTAAGAGGGCACTCTGATGGGGACACCTGATGTAAGAAGGCACTTCAATGAGGACCCTGATGTAAGGGGGTACTTTGATGAGGATGCTGATGTAAGGGGGCACTCTGATGGGGACACCGGATGTAAGGGGGGGCACTGTAAGGGGGATGGGGACACCGGATGTAAGGGGGCACTCTGATGATGGGGACACCGGATGTAAGGGGGCACTCTGATGGGGACACCGGATGTATGGGGGCACTCTGGTGGGAACATGGATGTATGGTGGTACTCTGATGGGGACACCTGGTGTAAGAAGGCACTTCAATGAGGACCCTGATGTAAGGGGGCACTTTGATGAGGATGCTGATGTAAGGGGGCACTCTGATGGGGACACCTGATGTAAGAAGGCACTTTGATGGGGACACCGGATGTAAGGGGGCACTTTGGGGACAGCGGATGTAAGGGGGCACTCTGATGGGGACACCGGATGTAAGGGGGCACTCTGATGGGGACACCGGATGTAAGGGGGCACTCTGATGGGGACACCGGATGTAAGGGGGCACTCTGATGGGGACACCGGATGTAAGGGGGCACTCTGATGGGAACATGGATGTATGGGGGCACTCTGATGGGAACATGGATGTATGGGGGCACTCTGATGGGAACATGGATGTATGGGGGCACTCTGATGGGAACATGGATGTATGGGGGTACTCTGATGGGGACATCTGGTGTAAGGGGGCACTCTGATGGGAACCTGATGTAAAGTGGGACTCTAATGAGTAGTCATGATGTAAAGAAGGACTCTGATGAGAATTTATGATGTAAAGGAGGACTCTGGTAGGATATCTGTTTTGTTTAATCACCCTAATCTAGTGACTAATACATATTAGTGTTTCCCAGGTCATGACACCGTGTGATCAGTGACTCATACACACAGTGCTGACATTATGCCCCCTGACATTTTTTTTTTTTACTGTACCCCTAGATCAAGATACATCTGGCCCTGGACTTCAGTAGCTTTTTAGTAAAATAGAACTTAAGTAGTAGTTATAGTACAAAATGTCCAGAACAACAGGGTCTGTTCTTTCATAAATGCCTGTTTTGAAGATAACTCCCCGTTGGGAGAGCCTCTGTTCACACACCTGGATGGCAGCTTCAGAAAGGTTCCTATCTTTCTCTAGTGTTTAATTCACACTGTAGCAGTCTCTCAAAAGTAATATACTGTGGATGGGAGGGCGGGTAAACAGCAGTTTACAGGCATTTAGGAGCCAATCTTGCTGCCTCCTAAATGCCTCTTTTTTGCCTTTTTTTTTCTTTGCTGAACCAAGAAAATTAACGGAATTAATGTACCACAACCACAAGCCTAGGGTTTGTCTTGCAGCTGTGGCTTGAATAGGCAAGTTTGACTGACAGTGCCGCCTATCAACTAAGCAAGCCATGTTAAATTTAATGTGATGCAAATCATCCCGTACAGCATGCTCCAGCTGCATGTTAAGTTTTTGGTGTGCAGTTGAGGAGTGGTAAAAAAAAGTGGTTCAACTGCCTGTTTTTTTACTACTTCCTGGTTGGTGAGAGAGGCCAATAGGAGAACCTTAGGGTTTGGTTCCTCATGAAGCTGAGGGCTGTAAAAATGAGTGGCTTAGCGGTGGTTTTACCATCCCCTTAACCTAACACAGCAGCCAGATAGAGCTGCACACATGCTGTAACTGCAAAGCTTTGCTTTGCAGCTGTAGGAAAAATTATACCCTTGTTCTGTTTGGCAGGCAGTACAGCCCCCAATATAATCCATTCAAGTTTCCTGCAATCACATGCAATGGTGGGCTTTTCAGGGTTAAACTAGGTGGTGAGGAGGCGACGTATCACTTCTCTGTTGTATGTCAACCACCCTCTGAAAAGCAGTCCACCATGGGTTGCTTTTCAGAGGGGCAGCAAAGACTACTGCCAGTGTAAATGAGTCTTTAGGGCTGGTTCACACTGGATGTGACTTGGCATGTGATTTGCATGACCTGCGACTTGCAAATCACATGCCAAGTCGCACCCTATTGTCCGCTATCAGAGCGGTCATATCGGTGAGGTTCTGACTTGGTAAGAGCCGCACCGATTTCAAAAGTAGAACATGTACTACTTTTGTTGCGATTTGCATAGACATCTGTGTCAGATGTCTTGCAAATCACAAGGAAATCGGCATCTCACTCGATTTTGAAATCGTGCGACTTCACTGTAAGTTGCACGATTTCAAAATCAGATTTGATGTGAAAGGAGCCTAATGAAGGCCATAGACATGGGCAAAATTGGCCATTTTTTTTTTTTTTTAAATTAAATCGTAAATCGGTCATTCAGACGGCCGACGTTGCCACTGATTAAAAAAAAAAGTTGGCGGGTTTTAGTCCCGTCTACGGCCGTCAATTAATTCAAGAACGGTGTCCCTGCATAGAGACCCGCTATTATATTTGACAGAAGAAATAGATTATGCAGAAGAAGAAGAGGAGAAACAACATTGCATCTATTTGTACTTGAATAGAAACATCTGTATCCAAAATGCATACAAATAGATACAATGTTGCAACTTTTTTCATCTCCGTCTTCTGCAAAATCTTTTTCATCTTCTACTCTTTTCTTCTATTCTTTTTGATAGTCTATTTCTTCTTCTGCAAAATCTATTTCTTCTATTACTTCTTTTTCTTCATAGTCAATTTATTGTCAAATGGGCCAGAAGAACGGCCAATTTGACAAAAAATTACCGCGAAAATCGGCCGATCTAACAAATCGTCCCAAGATTTTCCAGCTTGGCCGATTTTCAAAATCTCTTAAAATTAAGAAAAACAGCCAACATTTTTCCCCACTAACGGTACGAATATCGGCCGTTTTTTTTTTTTTTTTTTTTTTTATTCGGCCGATAATTCGGCAAAAAAAAAAAAAAAAAAAAAAAAAAAAATCGCTAATCGCTTTTGGCCTGCATTAGTGTCTTTTCACACAGGCAATCCAATCAGGTCCACCTGATGGTTTTTCAGGTGCACCTGTTTGGATGGTCATGCATTACTATGGATCAGTGGGTGTAAACGGAGTTGTGTCCATTTACACCCGCCTACCTACAGGTCCAATCAGGCCCGCTGAAAAAATAAAAGACCCTGCATGTCTCCTTAGTGATCCATTAGATGTATTGCTATGCAAACTGCATTGCAATACATCTTTCCCTGGCTATCCTAGCCTGGAAAAGCGACAGCTGTGACGCAGAAGTGACGTCATGAACGTTGCCTTCCAGGTCACACAAGGAAGGTGAGGGGAGCTCGTCCACTCTCCCCTCCACCCGCCAGCACCCCCGATGGCTCCCCTCCAGGCTCAAAGACGGGCAAGCGGAGCCCAGTTACATGGCGGGAAAGTTCCTGCGGAGGTGCACTGTCACCAGCGGACTGCTTCCACGTGACAGGCAGGTGTCTGCCTGTCAGTTTTTTACACAGCCGCTGCAGCCATTGGATTGTGTATAAAACCCCTCGCTGTCAGGTCTGTACAGCATATGGACCTGGCAGCGAAAGGGTTAAAGTGGTAATAAACTTAGGAAATACAAAATCTGCTGACCGGCAGAGTTTTTTTTTTTTTTTTTTCCCTAGGGATCTCTTCTGTTATAAATCTCACCCCTGCCTGTCAGTGCTGGGATATGATCTGAGCCGCTGTACATGCGCAATTCAGACCACATTTACAGCCTGCTCTGCATGCCATGGCAATGTGACTCCTGTGCACATGTGTAGGAGTGACATCACTGCTGCCCAGCCATTCAAACGGTTGAATATTCTGAACCTGGAAGGAAGACCAGGTGAAGATGGAAGTACCGTGGAGCTGTGACAGCACAGTGCTAGAGAGATCCATTTGTAGGCGAATCTGTTATAATGTCCTAGTATGCATTATGACATAAACCTGCAGGAGGGGATTACTTTATATCGTAAAAGGTACTTTATTACCGCTTTAACAAGTTACCAATAAGCTTCAAAGTGGCAGTTAGCACTTCCCCTAGGATCTCTCTTTAACATTCCCATCTGAAAATGTAATATTATTACAGGTACTTATATAGTGCTGTCAATTCATGCAGTGCTTTACACATATATATTGTACATTCACATCAGTCCCTAACCCTCAAGGGGCATGAAATCTAAAGTCTCCAACTCACATTCATACATACACATATGAGGGCCAATTTAGACAGGATCCAATTAACCTACCAGCATGTCTTTGGAGTGTATGAGGAACCTGGAGTAATTAGAGGAAACCCGTGCATGCACAGGGAGAACATGCAAACTCCAGGCAGGTGGTGCTGTGGCTGGGATTTGAACCAATGACCCTAGTACTGCCAGGTGGAAATGCTAACCATTTAGCCACTGTGCTGCCCATTATGAAACATGGTAGTGGCTTACTGATGTTTTGGGGGGATCCAAAGAAACAGGGAAACTTGTGAAAGTTGATGGCAAGATAAATGCAGCATATTATCAGAAATTACTGGCAGAGAATTGAGAATTTGCTTTTTTTTCTGCATGACAGCTGAACATGGGACACTCTTGGACTTCCCAGCACAGCAATGACCCTAAGCTTAAGGCCAAGTTGACCCTCCAGTGGTTACAGCAGAAAAAGGTGAAGGTTCTGGAATGGCTGCATTGTAAAAGATCACTGCTCACACTGATCTTATACAAGCTGAAGCCTGTGTGAACTTGTACCAGCAAAAAGTCTAAAATACAACCGGAGAAGGGTGTTCACATGCCTGTGCAAATTTACCATGTCATGCCAAGTTGACAGGCGGCACCACCTTTCAAAGTTGGCCATCCAAGTCAATAGAGCTGCTTCACAACTGCACTTCAAATGCTTGGGTCATATTTGCAGTGCATTAAGCCACTCACATCCTAAACACCTGACAGGATGAAAAACATCGTGCATCACTTTTCAGAGCATGGGCTAGTGCAGTGTTTCTCAATTCCAGTCCTCATGGACCCCCAACAGGTCATGTTTTCAGGATTTCCATTATTTTGCACAGGTGATTTGATCAGTTTCACTGCCTTAGTAATTACCACAGCTGTTTCATCTGAGGGAAATCCTGAAAACATGACCTGTTGGGGGTCCATGAGGAACTGGAGTTGAGAAACACTGGGCTAGTGTAACGTAACCTAAGGCAGTAGCTCCTTGATTCCCCTAGGGCAGTTTCTCAACTCCAGTCCTCATGGACCCCCAACAGGTCATGTTTTCAGGATTTCCCTCAGATGAAACAGCTGTGGTAATTACTAAGGCAGTGAAACTGATCAAATCACCTGTGCAAAATAATGGAAATCCTGAAAACATGACCTGTTGGGGGTCCATGAGGACTGGAGTTGAGAAACACTGCCCTAGGGGTAGAGCAGAAAATATTTCCACTCCTATGATGGTTCTGTAGTATGGTCTTTCTCTAAGAAAAGTCCTGTCCCAACTTCCCCTTTTGACTTCTTACCAAGTAAATACTCAGATGAGATGGCCAGCTACAGCTGCATAGCAAAATGTAGGTGGGACTCCTGTTGAATGGACCTTCATCCTGTTAAATGCTCAAGTCTGAACTGTGCCTGGCCTCTGCCTGCTGTTTAAACACTTGCACCAGTTTACCCCTGTACAAGTAATAGGACATTAATAATCTTCAGCCACTAAGGCAGTGTAGATTTGACATTTCAGCTAATATGCAGAGAATGATGGGACGGTAGATTGTTTCAGATTTTCCTTAAATACTTTTTTGAAGGACTCCTTGCTCTTCAACATTTTTAGGGCACAGATTCAGAAAAAGTTTGCAGTTTAGGAAGTTCTGACTTCTCTTGCTGTAAGCTTTATTTGGGTCGGTTGCCCATAATAGCGGCTCTCATATTTCTTTCAGTAAGGGCCAGTTCACGCCAGATTGTACTGCAGGAAACCCATGTTCTGTGCATGTTTCCCACACCACATTCAAAACACACTGCACTTGCAATTTGCAATGGTTGTCAATGCTAACCTAGTGACACCCCAAACGCAGTTTGTTTGCCTGTGCCAGATCGCATAATACTACAGTACCATGCAATACAGCGCAGGCCAACACACTGTGTTTTGTAATACTTTGTGTTTTGTAAAGTAGTACATGCATTACTTTTGATGCGGTCCGGCACAATTTCAGCCTATTCAAATGAATGGGCCTAAATCACACTGCACCCGGATCGCATGTAAATCGCACAGGAATGCATAACTCATTCCTGTGTGAATCAGTGCTAACGGTTTCTTTTAAAACTTAACTCCAGAAAAAAAACTAAATGTTTGGTTGTAATACATCTATGTGAACTGTTTACTTTGCCATGGGATTTTTAATTTTGTTCAGCCACTCGTGATCTAGGCAATCCTGCTAAATATCACACCAGGCCCTGAACCTATACTGGGGTTTAAACTGGTTCTAAAGGCTCAAGGTTTTTTACCTTCAAGCATTCTCTGCATGAAGGTAAAAAAAATTCAGTGTGCAGTGACCCCCTCAGCCTCCCTAACACTTACCTGAGCTCCGTCTCAATCCAGCGATATCCAGGACAGCCTCAGTTCTCCGGGGACACTCGTTCCAGCTTGGCTGAGGCCATTGGCTCCCGCTGCTATCAATCACAGCCAGTGAGCGAATCAGGAGAGGGAGGGGGTGGGGCTGAGCCGTGGCTCTGTGTGTGAATGGACACACAGAGCTGCAGCTCAGGAGCACGCCTGCTCGGGTGCCCCCATAGCAAGCTACTTGCTGTGGGGGCACCCAACAGAAGGGAGGGGACAGGAGTGCCACTAGGGGACCCGAGAAAAGGAGGATCCAGGCTGATCTGTGCAAAATCACTGCACACAGCAGGTAAGTATAACATTTTGTTATTTTCATTGAAAAAAAAGACTTCAGTAACACTTTACGTGTTTAATTTTATTTTTTATTTTATTTTTATTTATTTTTTAGTCTTGGGGAGCTTTACCTGTCTTGGCAACCATTGTCAACTAAAAAGAAAAGTAAAGGAAATAGAAACATTTTAGAGATCTCATTAAAGCAAGAAGTGATGGAAGTTTTTCTAATGTGACACAGACAGCAAAAATGTCCTGACAGAGGTTTTAACTCTTCCCTACATTATCTAAACCAGAAAATAAATAAATATATTTTTACACTATATTGCTAAGTATTGGGACACCCCCCCCCAAATCATTGGATTCAGGTGTTCCAATCACCTCCATGGCCAGATAAGTCAAGCCCCTAGGCATGCAGACTGCTTCTACAAACATTTGTGAAAGAATGGGTCGCTCTCAGGAGCTCAGTGAATTCAAGTGTGGTACCGTGATAGGTTGCCACTTGTGTAATAAGTCCAGTCTGTAAAATGTCCTTGCTATAAAATATTCCACAGTCAACTGTTAGTGGTATTATAACAATGTGGAAGTAACTGGGAACAACAGCTACTCAGCCATGAAGTGGTAGGCCACGTAAGATAACAGAGCGGGTCAGCGCATGCTGAAGCACAGAAAATGCCAACTGCTTGCAGAGTCAATAGTTAAACACCTCCAAACTTGGTGTGGCCTTCAGATTAGCACAACAACAGTGCGCACAGAGCTTCATGGAATGGGTTTCCATGGCTGAGCAGCTGCATCCAAGCTTTACATCACCAAGTGCTATGCAAAGCATTGGATGCAGTGGTGTAAAGCATGCCGCCACTGGACTCTAGAGCAGTGGAGACATGCTCTCTGAAGTGATGAATCACACTTCACTGTCTGGCAATCCGATTGACATGTCTGGGTTTGGTGGTTGCCAGGAGAACAGTACTTGCCTGACTGCATTGGGCCAAGTGTAAAGTGTGGTGGAGGGGGGATTATGGTGTGGGTTTTTTTTTTCAGGGGTTGGGCTTGGCCCCTTAGTTCCAATGAAGGGAACTCTTAAGACGTCAGTGTACCAAGACATTTTGGACAATTTCATGCTCCAAACTTTGTGGGAACAGTTTGGGGATGGCCCCTTCCTGTTCCAATATGACTGTACACCAGTGCACAAAGGAAGGTCCATATAGACATGAATTGAGTCAGTTTGGGGTGGAGGAACTTGACTGGCCTGCCTCAACCCAACAGAACACCTTTGGGATGAATTAGAGCAGAGACTGTGAGCCAGGCCTTCTCGCCTGACATCACTGCCTGACCTCACAAATGCACTTCTGGAAGAATGGTCAAACATTCCCATAGACACACTCCTAAACCTTGTGGACAGCCTTCCCAGAAGAGTTGAAGCTGTTATAGCTGCAAAGGGTGGGCCAACTCAATATTGAACTCTATGGACTAAGACTGGGATGCCATTAAAGTTCATGTGCGTGTAAAGGCAGGTGTCCCAACACTTTTGGCAATGTAGTATATGTGAACAGGCACCAGTAATCGCCCCAGGTGTGTGCTCTCTCCTTATGGTTTGACCTCAATTACGAAAGGTCAAACAAGTATGAACAGATAGATATCTAGGCAAACTCCTTCCTGAATACTCATAGATACTTGATACTTTATATATATATATATATATATATATATATATATATACTGTAAGAAACATAGCCTGGTCCAAGATCTGCCACACCTGCCGATTAGACAATGAAGGAGCAGCAGTTGCACACTGATGAGGCGATTCTTTTGCTCCCCAGCACTGCAAGCTTCCCAATGCAAAGCAATAGAGCACTGACTGGCTCAGTAATCCTCCAGCCGGAATGCCACTGGCTGTGCAGAGGATTAAAGGAGATTAATATCAAGACAGATTCAGGGATTTATGCTAATTCAATTTAAAAACATTTAAGATATTTTTAATGAACACATAACTTGTGTATTTTTTCAATACTTGCCTGAAGTTCAGATTTAATCAGTTTGGGAGGGGGTAATAAAGGAGCTATGTGAAAAAGAGATGCGCAATATGAGAACTATATCACCTATCGTCAACTGGGATGCATCTGCCATTTAGGGTTGCCAGCTCATCGCTTTAAAACCGAACACTTATTAATTACACAGGTTTTGAGGCTAAGTTAATGCACTTAAAGCAGAGTTCCACCTGAAGAAAAAAAAAAAAGTCAGCAGCTACAAAAATTGTACCTGCTGACTTTTAAAATAGACACTTACCTGTCCCTTGGTCCAGTGATGTCCTCACCACCGCTGGTTTCACTGGCCGTCTTCTCTCCCTGGCACTGGCATCTTCAGTGTGGGCACCCGGCTGTGACAACTTGCGGATTCACAGCCGGGGTGCCCACTGCACAAGCGCGAGAAGCGTTGCGCTTTGTGAATGGCTCGTAGTCTTCTGGGACTTGTAATGTGTCCCAGAAGACTACGGGGAGGGAGGGGGGAGGACAACTTCCGTTTCCAATTGCCTAGGCGATTGCAGCAGAAGTGGGAGTGGCTACCTGTCAAATTCCCCCCCCCCCCCCGCTCACCAAAGGTGCCATTCCTTAATGGGGAGCGAGGGACAGCTTAAAGTGGAACTAAGTAAGTTTAACCACTTGTCTACTGGGCACTTATACCCCCTTCCTTACCAGGCCAATTTTCAGCTTTCAGCACTGTCGCACTTTGAATGACAATTACGCGGTCATGTAACATTGTACCCATATGAAATTTTTATCATTTTTTTCTCACAAATAGAACTTTCTTTTTGTGGTATTTACTTGCCGCTGGGGTTTTATTTTTTGCGCTATAAACAAAAAAAAGTGCAAAAAAAAAAAAAAAAAAGGTTTCTTTGTTTCTATTATAAAATTTTGCTAACAGGTAATTCTTTCTCCTTTACTAATGTGCGTTGATGAGGATGCACGGATAGGCAGCACTAATGAGGTGGCACGGATAGGCGGCACTGATGGGTACTGATAGGCGGTACTGACTGGCGGCACTGCTGGGCACTGACTGGCACCACTGGGCACTGACTGGCAGCACTGGTGGTGGGTGGCACTGCTGGGCAGAGTTGGGTGGCACTGGTGGGTGGCACAGGTGGGTGGAACTGGTGGGTGGGCACTGGTGGGCGGCACTGCTGGGCACAGGTGGGTGGAACTGGTGGGTGGCACTGCTGTGCACCGATCATCAGGGCACTGATCATCAGTGCCCTGAGGATCGGTGCCGATCCCTGCTCTGACAACTGCCGGTTCTCGGCAGTACTTTCCCCACGTTCTGACAGCATGAGGAAAGTGCAGCCGAGAACCGGCAGTTGCATTTCCCTGTGATCAGCGTGTCATTGGACACGGCTGATCACGTGGTAAAAAGCCGCTGTGACTGGCCTTTTACTACATCATGTGATCAGCTGTGTCCGTAGGACACAGCGATCACGGAAATCGCCGGGTGCGCGCCCCGGGGGCTGTTGTCCACCCCTTTCTGAAGCCCAAATTATGGGTGTTCCTGCTGGGG